GTTGGGGAAGGGGTTCTGAGGCCTTCTTTCCTCTAATAGTTGGAGGATTCTGGGTCAAGATGAAGCCAGAGAGCTAAGCTGCCACCCTGACTCCTCCATCCCGGCCCAGGGCCCCTCAGCCTCAAAGTGGATATCTGGGGGAGGGAATTGTGGCATCGCCCCTGACAATGTAAAGTCTTTATCAATGATGGAAACTGTTGTGAGTTTGAAATGGAAACAATGGCACCACTGACTCCTATGAACAGTAGTAATAACAATGATGCTCACCTCCTGCTGCTTGTGTGGACGGTTTTTTATTCGGCTCCAGGATACGGGGCAGGGAGCAGAGGGGTGTGAGGAGGCTGGGGGTGGGGCGGGGCTGGTGGGGAGGCAGCAGGTCTTGAATGAGTGCCTCCAGGGGCAGAGGTGGAACTGACTAGGAACTTCAGGGATGTGGGGGCTTTGGGAGGTAAGACCATCTATCCTGGCACATCCGCTCTGCGCCCTCTCCCTGGGGGTTCAGAAGAAATCGTGTCAACAGCTGCGAGGCCCCCACCTCCGGCTTGGCGGCTTCTGCTTCCTCTACCCCCAGGTCCCAGGAAAAGGTCTGTCTGGGGGTAGGGAACTGGGAAGAGGGGTGAGCTGAGCTGGTGCCAACAACAAACCTGAGACTCACCGGCAGTCTCGCACTTACTCCTCACAACACGCCGGCGAGGGATGTACCATTGCTCTCATTTCCCCGTGAGGCGATGGCGTCAGAGAGGTTCCGTGCTTTGCCCGAGGTCACGCAGCCAGGAAGTGGCAGACTTCATGCGAGGTCTGGCCAACCTGCAGCCTGTTGGCTTCACACTACCCCGGCCCCTTCTCCTTGAGGAGGGCCTGGGGAATGGTGCGACGTGCCTTGCCAGCGTGGCCTTTCCCAAAGCGATACCACTTGTGTTCATAGAAATGTACACGTGACCTCCCGGCCTGGCACACCTGGAGGCTTGGAGCAGCCACAGCCCTCCACCTTGCATGCCGAGAGAGGTTCGACCACAGCAAAAGGTGTCCCTAAGCTCCTGGTGCTTGTGCAAGGGCTGGCTCTGCAATCACCCAGTTTCCCAGAAACCACCTTTCCCTGACGTAATGCTGCCCTCCCACCCAGAGCACCCCCTTCCTCCCAGCCCCTTGTCTCTTTTGTCCTCTCCCCGTGCCCCACTCAGACCTCCATCATCACCCGTAGTCCCCACCCACCACAGCCTGGTGCCCCATGGCCTCCTGTCTGCTCTCCTGGGCTAGCTGAGCGGCCTGACCTGTAGGGCTGGCGACAGCAGTATAGTGAGGGCATCAGACACCAGATGCAGCACCAGCACCTACACCTGGTGCCACCCCACCCAATGCCCCCTCTGCAGAGGTATGAAGCTAGGGAGAGGACACCAACACATGGACACCCTCTATGGACAGGTGCTCTGCATACTCCATCCCCAAAGGAGGAAACAGGCTCACGGGGCCCAATGAAGGGCTTGTCTGTGGTTGGAGAAGCCGAGCCATCAGAGTGCTAAGCCTCCAGGGATCCCTGCCTAAGGCCAGTGACCAGGGCTAAGCTAATCCAAACAGTGGTTTCTAGGAGGGGAGTTAACTCTCCAAAGTGAGTTTAGTTGTGGGCTGGTGTCCTGCTCTGAGGGCACAGCAAAGTAGGTGAAGGAGGTGGCAGCTCCAGCGAATGCCCAGGTGGGAATTCTGCCAGGGAACATTGAAACTGTCTTCGCCCTGGTCCAGGTGTGGGAAATGCTGACTGTGGCCCACAGAGCTAATTAATTCTTCTTGTCTTGGAAATTCCTGAATCGGGCACAGCAGCCGGTGCTTACATGCATGCCAAATCAGATCAAGTGCAGGCTGGGGGCAGAGAGCCAACCTCGCTGAAGCCAGGAGAGGGATCAGTGTGGCCTCCACCAGGCTGGGGTCTGGAGGAAGCAGCAGAGAAGGGGGAGGTTGGAGTTTGGGAACTGGAGACCGGTGGGGGTGCTCCGGACCTTCAAGGAGACACGAGGAGCTGAAATGAATCAGGCAGTGATCGGAGGGGAGAGCTAGAAGCCTGCCTTTGCCATTCCAACCCTCCCCCCTTGTCTTGTCAGTTCCCATCTGACTCTCCTTTGCAGCATTTCCTGTCCTTGGGCCTCCCTGTCCCCACCTTGCTCTGCTTTCTTC